TGCTTGAACTTTGTGTGAAGCACGTTCCTACCTGTATGATGGTTTCATATGATTGTTCGTATGACGTGATAACATGGAAACGTTAGGGTTAGAATTTCAGGTTTGAATGAAGTCTTTAATGACCCGTTTACCTTCTCCTATACTAAGTATTTATATTGTAAATGATTTTATGGGTTTTTATTGATTATTTCACTAAGTATTATTATGAATATCGCATGATGAATAAAATTCTTGGAAGCAAGTTGTAAGTCTTGTAAGATTTTGATTACTCTAAAATGGAAACTCAATAACCCAGATAAAACTAAAAATCTAAAACTCTAGGAATCAGAAACGCTCTAGTCTAATTTTAAATTTTAATTTATAGGATCTCATCGTTTCCCTAAAAGGCCATTAGAAAAAGTAAATCGGGAATCGCCTACCCGGTGAGTGATCCGTTGTTTTTTCTAACCCAACATCAATTGTCATTGGCCATTAGTCCTCCGACAACTGTGACTTAGGCGATCACGGTTAGCATCATAGAGTTGTTCACCGATCCAATGACTACCCATTTTTGCTTGCAAGTCTATTCTTCCTCAGGGAAGGCTCACTAGAACTTTGGGCAAGCTAAAGATCCAACTAGTCTTGGATATCAGCAGGATCGTTCTCCTTAGTTTCATTAGCTTATTTAAACCCTTTTACCCGATATTGTTCTTTTCTTGCTCCTTATCCTTCATAGCTACAAATAACCACTTTCACATATGTTTAGAGCATAAATTAGGATTCTGAGGACAATTAATTATTAAAACAAAGCCCATAATGAGTCCTAAATGAGTCAATATCTCATATTCATCAACTAACAAGAAAAATTCTAGGATTTCACATGGTTCCTAATGAGACATCAGAAAACATGGAACTTGAAATGTACTCATTTAGCACAACCCTAAAGAGTAAAAAGTAGTATCAATGATTATTTTAAGACTTAAATTAAAACGCATCTTGCCAACAAAAGATTAAAAAAGAATGCTCAGAAGTGAAACCTCATAAATTCATTCTAGAAACATCAAGACTGTACATCATGCTCATCATGAGTATCATCGAAGCCATTATATTGAGAATAATCGATCCTCACCACAACCCAGACATTTCAGGATTTTAAAATATTATGGTGTATGAAAAAATTTTATCAGAAAGAGGTAAAGCTGGAACAAACTAAATGGAACACTATGAAAACAACATGATCATCAAAGATGTTTATTGGCACAAGTGCCATATTTACCAAAAAAAATTACAAAAATGGATTGTCCTAAATTAATAAAAATGACATAATAAAGCGTACAAAGAGGAACTCTCTAAATGGTTGAGAATTAAACTCACACAATCATTTGGTAGATTTCCTAACAAGGTCTATAGCTGACCTTTCCTGCAACTTAGGGGAATTTTAATTCCAATTCAACGGTCTTTATTATCACCGTCTAAAGATCATAAATGAATTGCCAGACTTTTATGTTCTCATCGCCAATTTTTTTAGTGTATCCCCTAATTGTTTCCCCTTATTAGGAAAACTGAGTCAGTCCCCAATCGCATCAATGTATCACCTAGTTAGGGGTACAATCCATTGAATTGGATAGTCTTTACCTAAAGTTGAGCTCCCATGTGGCAAGCTCGTTGGAACATCAACTATGTCCTTAAAAACAAAGCTAAATGTCCCTCACAATTGCTGATCATTGGTAAAATACTATATAATTGACACCGATAGTATTGAAAACTACTAACATATAAGTTGACTCTCAAGAAGACCTAATTTAACATCGTTACACAACATGTATATGATCTAATTCATGATCCATGCTCACAAAATCAAAAACCCGCACATTAGGACTTTTCCCAAAGGGCAACTTCAACCTTTTGCCCACTGACAGTGAAGATCACCCCCTATGCACCTTCAATTTAAGTTGTTGCGTTTCCATACATCTCCGTGATTGTGTATGGACCAGTCTACTATGTCATAAGCTTCCATGAAAGATTTTCATCCTTTAATTAAATAGTAGGACTAGATCAGCTACTCTAAACTATCGAACAAAGATCTTTGAAACATGCAAGCATTTAAACTTTTATTTATAGATGGTTGAACTTTTGAATGCTTATAAAATAAATTAATCAATCTTAAGGATTTGGCCACAAGATTTTTGGAATACAACTCAAATTTAAATTTATCCTCTTCAATCTTTTTTAAATGCTAACTTTTATTGAGCCATACCAATAGGAGACTTGAATTTCGTGTTAAAGGCTCAAAGTTAATCATTAAAGTTTTTAGGCCAATCAATGTGATAAACATTAACAATTTTGGTTAAGATTCTATTTATATCTCCGTTTGACACTTTAACTTTTTAGCTAGATTGCGGATTTTACAGTATTTACACTTTGTGCTTTACTCCAAACATTGATATAGGTGATAGAAATAGGATGTTGCAAAAATGTGATCACCAATGAATTATAACGGACCTTGGGGTTAATACACCTCATAATTAAAAAGATGAAAAATTGTAGGTTTCTTGGATCTGGTGCAAGTCCCAACATAGCCACCAACGACCTATGGCCTTACCTGTAATCCATAGGTATTCTCGTGGTTGGACATTCCAAGTTCTTAAAAAATTTCTTGTATTTTCATACTGTTAACTAGGATGGACAAATGTCTAGAGACCAAATTATAGGTATGTCTTATAGGGGAATCTCAGACATAATGACATTTTATGATAAAAAGTGTGAATCGATGGTGGGATGTCGGGCTCATTGATGGACCCATGGACTGTACATTGGTGTATTTGATGGGGGTCAAAAATAGGAAGTTAGTGATCATATACATGGTTGACCAAGAAAGTCTATGGTCCGACTAGCGGACCATTTCGGACCATAGGTCAAGCCATTGGTGAGGCCCGATAGTTATTTTAAAGGTTATTTTGGGTCTTTTCCTAATAATTCTAACACAGTACTATGTAGTTATACCATTTACCAAAGACAAATATAATGATTTTTAATCCCCGAATCACCCAATTCAATTTACTCTCCTAAATCCCGTAAAGCTAAAAAAGTCCTCTCAAATACTTCTCTCTTTATGGAAGAAGAAGAACTCAACTTAGAGTTTCAGAATCAACTCTCCTAATCCTCCATTGAATTACAGGTTTTGGCATCAATGTATTTTAGTCTTCATGTATGGAGTTCTTTCCTCCATAGATTTCCTATATTATCCAATTTACATAGTTGAAAATCTCCTATTGAAGTTAGAGTTTTGTTCCATGTCATTATTTCCTTTCAATGGTGATCCAATTGATTATTCTATGACTTTTAATGCATGAATTTTTGTAGTTGCATGCTTTTATGAAGAATCCCTATGAACCTATGCATAATCCATGTTTTCTCAGCCATGATGATATGTAACATGGTGACTCCTCATGTTCTATGTACTCTAACCGTTATTGCTTATTGTCTTTATATTTCAATGATTTTAAGTGATTTATGCGTTATGTCCCTATCACTCTTGATGAATAGATTGCTTTTGAGACTGTTGACTTCTACTTTATTTTGATAAAACAATTTTATGATATAAAGTGTCTTTTATTATCGTTAGATTATATTATTTTGTTTAAGTATTCTAAATGGCCTGTGTAAGACCTCTTAGTGTCTTATACAACATGTCACATCGAGGGTGTACTTTTGGTTGTGATAGAGGTACAAAACCTTGTGTAAATATTCCTCTTGAGAATCTTTATGACACTTATTCATTCATTGTTGGGTAATGCTACTGCATCCACCCATTTAGACACACAGTAAGTATCCACAAGAATGTACTCATTGCCTAATTATCTTAGAAAAGTATCAATGAAATCACCCAACCCCCACAGATTAAATAACTCAATTTCAATTTTTTTCTTATGATGGTGGTTTATTCCACTTGAAGAAACTCCCACGCATATGAGATTGAAAACAATATTTGCAAATGTTATGAGCATCCCTTAACTTTGGAGGGTAATAATAGTCTTATTGTAAGACCTTAGAGGCTGTACAAATTCTCCAATTATGTTCACATGCAGGTGAAGAAATATCTGCTTCTAATTTTTCATGCCTCTACTTTCTAGCACACAACGTCAAATAATGTTATTTGCACATTCCTTAAGGAGGAATGATTCATCCCATAGATAGTTATTTACATAAAAAAAGTTTTTTCTATTATGATGGCCACTCGAATCATAGGTGACAACACATATACAATAAAATATGCGAAATCAACATACTAAGGAACCGAGAGTGTAGAAATTAACTTTTTTAATTCGTTACAGAAACCATCATAAATATCTATCTCTTCAGCATATCTAGCATCCCTTCAATCCTCGATACGTTGCAAGCTAGTTGGTTTTCATATCCATATATATCATTTACTTCAAAGGCACATTCATAAAGGAGGAGCACCAATCATATCAGTCTTAGTGTTGCTTTTTTTTTGCCATTTTTGAGCATAGAGTAATATGATCAGTATGCATGATAACTTTTGTACTCAGTAAGTACTCTCTAAGCTTCTCAAAATTGTACTAAAGATTCAACAAATCTTTCTCAGTCATGATATTTTATTTTTATTATAACTCAAGGTTTTATAGCATAGTAAATAAAATGAAAGAACTCATTTATTTATTTATGGAAAATACCTCTAAGTGTCAGGCCACTAGTGTCGCACATCATATTAAAATTGAGATTCCAATTAGGTTGTATGATAATAAGGGTCGAGATTAGTTTCTCTTTACAAAAATCGAAAGTTTTCATGTCACATCGAGAGAGCACCCCTATACGTAACCGGCATCGTCGTCCTCGAAGAGGAATTAGACAAGCCATTTCCATTCTTCATAACATATTAACCATCATTGGTTAAATTACAGAAAAAATTAAAATATTTTGCATATAATATATTAAGTATACTTAGACGTTAACAACATGATAAAAATGGATACAATTTCAAAGAAAAGTGTCTAAAATAAAAACCATCTTAAGAGTACGAACTTGAACTTAGGCAATACAATATGAATATTCCATATAGGCCTTACTCTAATAGAGTTCAACGGAAAAGGAATAAAATTGTATCTCTTGATTTACTACAATCTTCATTGGTAGAATAATGAAAAAATAGTATCCCCGAATGTGAGGAACCAACAACACATGGAGAAAGAATTCCAAGCTTATTCAATTGACCTTTTTATTGTTCAATGGTCGGACCTTACATTGTAGATATATAAAGGATATGGGTTAGTACTACACTTGTACTATGTATGGGTATATGCACATAAAATTTAATAGAGCATATACAAGATAAGGATCAATACAACATAAAGCATGATCATAACCAAACACATATCATCATAAAGTCATACTAACATTTCCTGTTCAATAGTTCATACCAACATAACATACAAAACATAGGAAATATTACTTAAATACACTACTTTAATTATCTTAATAACCATTTATCCCCACTTATTTTAAAAATTTCAAAAATTCCTTATTCCCCCCAATTAAAAAAATATAAAAGATACATAAAAATTTCCCACCTTTTTTTCACCCAATTGGCAAGTTTAACTTTAACAAAACTAAATCCTATTTTCAAGCTACCCACTTCCCCATTAACATCCCCAATTAAAATTTACCATATTAATTTTATTCCTTTTTTATTTCCCTACATTTTAGGTGTACAATTGTCTAATTTAAATTCCCCATTCCACACGTTTGCAGGTTAACAAAATTTGAATCCAGTTCAAATTTGCAGGCATATTTATTTGATATTTTGTAGGAGTCTACTTCTTTCTAACCAGATTTTATAAGTTTTTAAAGGGTAAACATTGTCTCCTTCATTCTCTTCATAGCTAGAATAATGAAAAGGAATAAAAGAGTATCTCTTGAACTACTACAATCTTTATAGCTACAATAATGAAAATATAGTATCCCCGAATGTGAGGACCCACCAACAGTTGGAGAAAGAATTCCAAGCTTATTCAATTGACCTTTTTAATCTTCAATGGTCAGACCTTACATTATAGATATGTAAAGGATATGGGTTAGTACTACACTTGTACTAAGTATGGGTATATACACATAAAATATAATAGAGCATATACAAGATAAGGATCAATACAACAAAAAGCATGATCATAACCAAAGACACATCATCATAAAGTCATACTAACATTTCATGTTCAATAGTTCGTACAGACATAACATAAAAAACTTACCCAAAATCCCATCTCAAGCCTACAAGTGCAAGACTAATGTAAAGGCGCATATACCACAAAAACAAGTAAACAGCATAGGAGACCATTAATAATGTTTTGCTTCATACAACTTATATCATAAGTACTCATTTCACATATAGCAATAAAGACCAATGCATGTTCATTAACATAACAAACATCATATAAATACAACACCATATATCATAAGGATTAGACATTTCATGTTCATAGTACATAAGAACAATATCCTAGGAATTCCCTTAGAGTCAACTTGTGCAATGTTTAGGTAGAGTCCCATAACACTACCTCTACTAAGTAGACTCCTCAAGTAACCCTAGTCAATGTCCATATACTTTAATCTTTAATTTTACTTGAGTATCAATCGCCTTAACCGAAATTAGACCATGTAATCTAAAAATATCTGGTGTCATAAAACCCCACACCGAACGAAGGTGGTACACTTGCCAACGTAGAACCAAAACATGAACATAAAATTATAGGTGGATCCACTAGCAAGTATTCGTATGGAGGCAACATAGTTAAAGAACTAGGAGATAAATTAGAGACTCATAATTCCATATTGCATGGCAGCCTCTATCTCATGAGAGTAATTGTGAAGCTACCTTCAAACTTGGGAAGGGACTCCTCTGATATCTAGTTCACTTGGATCTTATCTAAAGTTCCTTTTTTAATTGCCTTTGTGTTACCATTAATAATAAATCTTATCATAGTCCATAGGAGACTAAATTGTTATATAAACATGATCATTAGCTCATCCTTTCATCACAACCATTCATTTGTGAGATTAACATATTATAGTACTATTATGTAATGCATACGAGAGAAATATCATCAACCTTGCCTAATCATACCCTTACCCCACATTATAAAAATTCATAGCCCAACATATATGCATATCAACATCATACATAATTCAATTGCATAACAACATAAATTATAGGCTAACATCAACATAACGGAGTAATCATAACTTTAGAAAACTTACCGATTGCTTCCAAGAATCTTCATCACGAACTAACGCTCAATTCACAACAATTATACAATAATATAGTAAAATACACAATAACATAACCAATACCACATATTATAGTTATATAAAAGATCAATTCATAGCTAGGGTTAACAAAAAGGGGTTCATTTATGAGTTCATTCAAGAAATAGTTTTGATCCCAACATTGCATGACATTAAGTGAATGATATAACATAATAGAATCCATTATTTAGCAAAAGAAAATGCTTCACATGAAATCCCATAATTCCATATCAACTATTTAACAATACATACTTAATTAGTCATAGAAAATTATAATCAATAATAATTAGTCATAAACTTCAAGTTTGGAATAGAGTAAAAGCTTTAGGAATGGAATTGTTTAAAAATCACTCTGGAAGGACTTCTTGGGGAAACTAATCCCATGAGTGAAGAACCCATACCTTATTGACAATTAATCCACAAATCTTGAGAAGAAAAGTTAAGAACTTGGCTTTCTTCTCAAAGCTTCCAATACTCTTCAATGGCGGTTGAGTAGAGAGACTCTTGAGAGAGATGAGAGTGATTCTGTAAATCTAATTTGGAGTAGGTCAAGGTGGCTTCAAACTGATCTAGAACAACTATATACTCTTCCCCTAAATAACCAAAATACTTCTCACTTAATTGGGTCTTTTTGTGAAGTTAAATTGACTTAAAAATAATGCGGACGAATCAGGAATATGGCTGCGCGTCGCGGGGGAAACTCCTATTATTTTACTGAAAAATTGGGTCAAGGCAGTAAGCCTCATGAAGGCCCCGAATTGTGAGGAAAAATTTACCTAGCCAGTGATGGCTGCGTGACAAGCAAGGGAATTCCTATCTTCACTGTTGCAAGTTGCTTTAGCAGCTTGCTCGCCAATGTTTGGATCCTCTTCAAGGACCCTAGGGGCGTTCCTTGAAGAGTAATGACTATATGTTTGGACCCTTTATACTATATTATACAAATTTAAAGTATTTTTAAAAGTTTTGGACTTCATTTAACACTCTCAAACATTCACCAAACATAGTGAAATTGGCATAGACAACCCTTGGCTATCATCTTACAAGTCGTCAAGCAAGAAATGGTTTGATACCTAGGCATAGAATCCCCCCCCCCTTCCACTCTAAATGTGTTCATTTGGAAATTGAAACTTCACTACCCTCGTTCTACAATATATGGAACCAAAACAAGCATGAAGTCAATCCATAACCAAATGATATCAAAATAAAATATGTGACGTTCTAACAGGTCAACATGAATAACTATATTGGGAAGCAATACAGGACATTTCCTATATACTCTTTTTGCAATTACCGAGTAACCCATTACGGTACAAAGAAAGGGTAGCACCGGGATCAAGTAAAGCATAAAAATTAATAGATAAGACTTGTAACATACCGGTAACTATATCGGGAGAGATCTCTTGTTCACTCATAGATTTGAGTGCATAAAAGCGGTTCCTTTTTGGAGCTTCAGAGCTAGAACCACATGGAAGAACTTGGCTATTCCCCTTTACTTGACCCTTCACATTATTACAATCTTTCACCATATGACCACTTTTGCCACAACTGTAGCAATTATTTGTTCCAATGAGGCATTCACCCACATGTTTCTTACCACTATTTCCACAAGTAGGTCTTTCTCTTAGTGAATAAAAATTTCTCCCCTTTTGGGAATTAGCGTTACAAACCCTTTAATTGAGAGTGTTGGAGAAATTTGAAGTAACTTGCTTTGAATACCTCTTTTTGAAGTTATACTTGTCTCGAATGTCAAGCCTATTCATAGAATAACCACTTTCAAATGACCTTGCCTTCTTAGCTTCTATATAATACTTCCTTAGACGACTCTTCTCTACTTGTTGTGCATAAACCATCAACCTAGAAAGATCCATGTTGCCATGAAGCATAGCTGCACTACATTCTTTTTCAAGCTCTTCGAACATGCCTGTTACATAACAACTCATTGCATTCCAATATTTTGAAACCAAAGAGGAAGAATTTTAGGATAACTTCATGAACTTTTAGGAGTCTTCCTTAACACTAATACCTCCTTAACGTCAGTTGATGAACTCCTCTACCTTATCTTCCCTTTGCTCCCTTAGGAAGAACCTATCATGAAAGACCTTCTTGAAGATCTCCCAAGCGACGGGACCACCTCCTAAATACCGACTATCCTTCCATTGATTGTACCATGTCTAAGCCACGTCCATGAGTTGATTGGAATCAAACTTGAAATTTTAAGTAGTACTCACCTTTATAACTAACAAAATCTTATAGACCTTATCAAGTAATCCTTCGGGGTCTTTATCAACCTTTAATCCAAAGAACACAAGAGGATTCATCCTCATTAAATCTCTCAAAAGAGTAGCCATGGTACAAGAATATTTGTTCTCTTGTGGTGCAACCTCCCGATTTGCTTGTGCCATTATGGCTTGAGCTTAAGTAATGATGGCCTTGGACATTTGGAGAAGGGATGCCCTCACATCACCATCTGTCATGGGCAGAGGATTAACCGAAACTTTATCATTCATGGGAACTTGATATTGAGGAGGAACTCAATTGCCTTAGGTAGGAACTCTCGCATTAGCAATCTCTTCTTCTACTCTTCTAGAGGTTGTCCTTCTTGTGTTCATAGCTTATAACCACAAGAAATGTATTAGATGATAAAAGAAACATAGTGTCAAGTCTCTTATAGCATGACATAAGATTACCAATAAAAAAGAATTTTCCTAATCATCACATAGCCTCGTATTCATCAAGAACTAACTCTCAATTAAGCACAATTAAAAAATAATATAGTAAAATGCACAATAACATAACCAATCCCACATTTCTAGTCATATGCAAGACAAATTTTTTGCTAGGGTTAACGGAAAGGGGTTCATTTATGAGTTCATTCAAGAAATAGTTCTTAGATCAACATTGAATGACATAAAGTGAATGATATAGCATAATAGAATCCATTATTTAGCGAAAGAACATGATTCACATGAAATTCCACAATTCCATATAAATTATTAAACAATACATAATTAATTAATCATAGAAAATCATAATCTATCATAATTAGTCATAAACATCGAGTTTGGAAGAAAACGCATTGGTAGAGTATAAACTCTAGGAATTGAATTATTTTGAATTCACTTTGAAAGGACCTCTTGGGGAAAGGAGTCCAAAGATTGTAGACCTATAACTTATTTAAAATTAATCCACGAATCTTGAGAATAAAAGTGGAGAACTTGACCTTCTCCTCAAAGCTTCCAATGCTCTTCAATTGTGGTTGAGTAGACAGAGAGGTTTGAGAGAAATGAGTGTGACATTGTAAATCTGATTTGGAGTGACTGATAGTGCCTTAAAACTAACCTAGAACCAGTATATACTCTTCCACTAAATTAAGCAAAAGACCCCTCACTTAATTAGAACTTTTTGTAAAGTTAAATTGACTAAAAAATGACGCAGACGAATCTAGTGAGTGGCTGTGCGTCGCGGGGGAAAATCCAATTCTTTTTTGAAAATCTGTGTTGAGGCATTGAGCCTCGTGAAGGCCCCTTGTCATGAGGCAAAATTTTCCTAGCAAGTTCGTGCTGTGCGACGCTCAAGGGGCTTTACATCTTCGCTGACAGATTGCTCACTAGTGTTAGGGTCCTCCTCAAGGACCCTTCGGGCGGCCCTTGGGGAGTCATGAATGGACGTTTGGAACCTTCATACTATATTTTACCTATTTAAAGTTATTTTACAGGTTTTTTTTCTTAATTTGACACTCCAAAACCTTCACCAAAGATAGGGAGGCCTACTAGTTCAATTTAGCTAGTTTCCGAACGTCAAGGTCTTTCTTAGTCGTTTTGGCTCTTACCTCTTCTAATTTAGTTTAATAAATTGATATAGGTATATAAACATCTAACCATTATTTCATAGGAAAATCTCTAGTCTAAATCATGAGACTTTTATAGTTTAACATTCCAAATATGCATTATCAAAAATAAACGTGCTTTCTTTTTCATAAGCTTGCACAATGGAATAGCAATCTTCGGAAGTCTTTAATGAGAAACTTATAGTACCCAACATGACAAAGGAAACTTATGAGTGTTGATTATATATTTGATACATATTAGGTATTATATTGGTTTCAAATATTAATTTGAGATATGATCAACATTAGCAATTTATATGGGAAGCCGACATCCTTCAGACAAGATTTAAGACTCGTTATAGACACTATGAGTTCCTAGTGATTTCTTTTAGTTTTACTAATACCCCTCCTACTTTTATGGACTTAATTACATGTGTGTTCAAACCATATCATGATATGTTCATCTTTGAGTTTATAGATGGCATTAAGGTGTACTCACAGAGCATGACTTATTATTAATAGTATCCGAGGATTCTTCTCTAGACTTTTATGGTTAGTTGATTTATGCAAAATACCAAAAGTATGAGCTCTTGCTAAGTTTGTAGTATTTCTGGGGTATGTTGTGTCTAAGGATTGAATTTTCATAGATATAGGAAATATTGAGGCTATTCGTAATAGGTATAGGCCCACTTAAGTTATGAAGGTTTAGAGCTTTGTATGGTTCCACGTTACAACATAGTAGTATTTAGAGGGTTATTCCACTTTTCAACAACTTTGTACTTCTTGATTTTCCTTGATGTTCTCTTTTAAGTTGCTTGACGAGAATGATTTAAGCTTTAAGAAGCTCAAGGAATTAATAAATACTACTCTTATGTTGACTGTTCTAGTTAAGGATGAGGTTTTAATGGTCTATTATGATACATCAAACATTTTTTGGGTTGTGTATTGATGCACACAAACCGACTTATTTCTTCTGCATAAAGGTTAGCTTAGACTACATATGTACAAATACTTCACTAAAGGTATAGAGTAAGCACTAGTAGTTTTTCCCTTCAAATTTTTTTAAGGCACTAACTCTACTGATTTTGTTTGGAGAAATAAACTAATAAGAGAAGCCTTCGGCGCATCATTAGAAAAAGTGATCTTTATTTGAGGCGACATCACTGGATTGAGATTTTGAGGAACATTAACCTCTCTATTATCTATCAATTGGATAAGGAAAATGTAATTGTGAATGCCTTGACCTAAAAAACAATAAGTATTGGTAGTATGGACTTCTTGTCTACCATAGAGTTACCTTTATCTTGGGAAATTAAGTTCTTAGATAACTAGATAATTCACTTTTATGTTTTAGATTCTAGGAAGATTCAAGTCTATGTGGGAGTTCACTCCTCATTTCTTCATCAGATCTGTAACCACCAGTTTGAGGATGAGGTCTTCGCAGAAATTAGAGATTGGGTGTTACCAAGTAATGTCGGTTAGGCTACATTGGATTTAGATAGGATTTTGAGATTAACAATTCTTATTTCTGTTTTAAGGTTAGAGGTTTAATCTAGTTGATACTTCTTATATCCCATTATTTTAAATATTGTATCCATCTGGGCACCACGAATATGTAATCTGACTTCTAGCATCATTAGTAGTGGGTAGCTATAGAATGAATTTTCTAGATTGTATGTGTATTTCCTTAGTTGCCAGAAGGTGAAAGGCAAGCACTTGAGACCTAATGGTGATTTTCATATATTATGCATTCTTGAATTGAAGTGGGATCACATATGGACTTTTTCGCCTGTCACTACACCATTTTACGCCAACAACCACCCCTCTGAATTGTAGTCTAAACTAGCCAACAATGTGGCTTTCAATAAAAAGATACTCTTGTTGAATTTTAGCAACACTTTTTAGGGGTTGGCCTAAAGAATCGTAACCTTTGACATTTGACAACACTTTTCATATGTCACCAAAGTAGTAATACTTAAAAAGTGTGAACAAAGAGGTATAAAGGCCACATTGTTAGTTATTTCATTAGCAACACTTTTATCTATTATAATGCACTTAAAAGTGTGACTTTTGCATTCTTATTGGTTACACTTTAAATGTTTTGCCACTTTTGCATTCTACATATGGATCGACGAGAGGAAGAAATCGTTACACACAATAACTTCAACTTCTTTAATCATGGTGAAGAGAAGGATGAGCAATATATGTGACCTAAAGAAAATAATAAGATGAGTTAGTGGGATACTGTATTAAATGATGTAATACATATAAAGCCACAAGCTTCTGTTAAGTGGACATTTAAAAGTATTTTAATCAAAACCATGATAAAAGAAGAGGGAGAAAATCACCTCTTCTAAGATGGAAACAAATCCTTCCTATTTAAGAAATTTCAAGAGACACTCTTTCAACGATGCAAATAACACCAAATTTAGTGGTTTGATCACTCTGGGATTCGTAATATCTTAACACCAACAAATATTTCAGTATCCTAGAATGGGGATTCACCGTTCTTCATCTTTCCAAGAAAAGTGTCTTTCACCTTGTTTATTTTAAAAGAAAGGTAGTAATTACCTCTTGCATCCAGATGGTTACCTACCATTTCTCACTCAATCTGCTACAGTATTTTTCTTGTTAAAGATATTGATATTAGTAAATGAAATCCCAAAAGAAAAATTGAAGTGAAATAGTACTCGTGTTGATATTCTCATACACAAAATGTCATTGTATTTATAAAAACACCAAAAATGATAGCATTAAACCATAGTCAAGAAATCGAAAAAATGTGGTGCAAATGTAACATGTTCAAGGAGGCATGAGAAAGATTAAAAGAACTAATAGTGTTGTATAGGAGTTGAAACATCTCTATATACTATACCCTCCACAGGTGGTTCCTATGGAGGGTGTAGTCTATGCAAACCTTACACTTCACCTGTGAAGGCAAGGAGACTGTTTCCAATAGATCTTCAAACGAGAGGAGATGATTTAATGTATTACTTAGACAATATCAGATATAGCCGTTGCAGCAACGTGTTAACATGAATGAGAGAACAAACATGTATCCAAGAATTAAAGTCGCTTTCATTATACTCATTTTAGATTTAAAACCTCCATAAAACTTATACATTCCCACACTGGGAGGTCCGAAAAAAACCATAAAAGATTACCATGCTTGAACATCAAACTTTGACACATATGATACATAGGGAGCATGTGTGTGTGTGTATAAACACTAAACCAAAGACACTAAGCTTGAGGGAGGAAGTAATACATACAAATATACATTGTTGATTAAGCTCCACTGAAATCAGATGCTGTTGTAAAAATAGAAACGAGATGCCAAAAAAAATTATCAGAAGTATTCACTAAAGGAGTTTTTCACCCTACAAAGATACATATAATGTGATGGACTTACGAGAATACAAAACTGCCACATTCTAGTTTGATACATGCATTCCATCCTTCTATCAATTTGATAAAGGCATACTTTCCTATGTATATGTCACCACGACATCCATATATAGTTGTTAAGATTCTAATTTCATACACTTATGTAGACATAGCACAAGCAGTGGTGTTCTTAAAAATTTTACATTCCATGATTACCTCTTGTTATGTATTTTTATGTTCAGTTCATGAAAGAGTTAGTAAGACAACTCAATGCAAGTAACATTTAAAACTCAATATCTATTTGGGGTACTCAATACAAGTAAGAACTCCATGGCAAAAAACTCCAAATTTTCACTCCATCTTTTAGCAAATTACGTTAATGGAGAGAACATTAGAACAAGTTCCAAATCACATAGCTAAAAACTCGCTTTGAATAGTTATAACTAAAACCTAATTTGCGCTACAAGTTTTAATAGATTAAGCAAATACAAAGAACATTAGAACGAATATCCAAACATACTCAATGAAACACTAACCATTTTTAGTCAAACATATAACTGGTAACTAAAGAACACTAGAACAAAATTCTAATCGCCATAAGTAAGAACTCTTTATTTTTACTCCAACTTTAAACAAATTATGTCGAAAAAGAACACATCAGAACAAAAATCAAATAACCATGGCTAAATCTTGCCATTTGCGCTTCAGATAGTACTCACCCATTCATCCATGACCAAAACCTTTAATCATTACAAACTCATGCCTGATTTGCTGGCAAGTTTGTCATAATGGGGTGCTTATATTCACTTACATGTCCAGGAACACCAAGTTTATTGAAAAATATAGCAAACTCAGAGTCACCCCTTGCCAGGAGTTTGACTTTCGATCCAAATATGTCCCTCCATAAGACTTACAATTTTGTTTTGTGGCCCATTAGAAGATGTATCAACATTAAATATAGTAAGAGTAAGAGAATTGAATATAAAAAAATTACAAGCAACACATATAAAAATGAAAATCAGAATCAGAAAAGAACACCTAAGAAATGTGTACCCCGTACCTGTGCATTTGAGAGGTTCTCATGATTTAAATCAAAAACTGAAATTTGAGGTTTAAAATTCAATCATACCTTCGAGAATTAATTGGCATCTAAGATCCTATGGGTGTTATTGCGGCTAGGTTTTAAGGATGACGATGAGAGGACTCTTTCATATACATGAGACTCAGAGTGTTTTTTTATTAGTTTTTTTTGTCAAATAAAAATGAGAGGGAGAATTAAATTCGTCGAAGATAATATAATATTTTACTGAAAGCTATAAGGCCACAGTTGACAAGTGTTGTTTTTATAATTATAAAAATGGCTAACTTTAAAAGTGTAGTCATATATATAAATAGGTGTGGCCAATTACATCATGATCAAGCTAAACTTATTAAGTGTATCCTATACTACTAAAGAGCACACTTTATTAGTGTTTGCAACATTAATTATTATGGCCAAAAGCTAAAAACTAATGTTATACTTTTAAAATGTAGCCTAAAAAGATTTAGGCAACATTTTACAAGCGTTGTCTTGATAAAGTGCGGCTTTATCCTAAAAAGGTGTAGTGTGTTTCCCAAGGATTCTAGAGGTATTGAAACAATTTAAGTCATCAATGATTTTTTGAGGAAGTCACTATACTTTTTTTCTAGTTAATCTTCATTCAACGCTTAGAGGTTAGCCATATCTACCTTCAAGAGGCGGTTCGCCTCCATGGTGAGCTCATTTCTATTATACGAGATCGGGGTGTACTTAGTATGTTATAGAATTTGGAGGATATTTTTGGAAAAGTTAGACACTCACATTGACATTAACATAGTTTTCAACAAATAAATAATAGCCAGTTAGAGTGTACTATCAAAGTTTGCAAGTATATGTAGTAGACTAGTATTTTTGAGTTTGGTGGATAATAGTACCGAGTCTTACCTTTTGCAGACTTTTTATACAACAATAACTACTACTCTATCTTGATGTTGGATCTATTTTTGGTTTTATACGGTGAGCGTTGTCTCTCTTTGTTTGGTCGCTTTGAGTCTACAAATCCTAGACAACGTGGAACTGACTTGAGTAGGATTTTTTTGACTAGGGGAGGGTTATTAAGGATAATTTTGAGATAATTAAAAGTACGAAGAAGAGTTATGTTTATCATAGGTTGAGGCATTTGAGATTCTTAATTTTATCTAGATTAATCCTATGTATTTGCCATGAACAAAGAGAAGATGCCTAGGAGGAATGGAAACCTTAGACCAAAATATAGAGGGCATTTTGAAATTATTCAGAGAGTTGGAGATATTTCATATGAGCTTGTTACCACCAATATTATTTGATATACATTAAGTATTTCATGTTTCGATGTTGCACATTTATGTTCATGATGACTCCCATGTACTTCAGTATGTTGAAAAAGATTTTGAGAAACTTCTAACCTTCGTTAAGTAGTTAGTATCCTCTAAACCTATAAATGTTTAGTGGTTGTGTTCGAGACATACGATTGTGGTTTAAGGTACATTGGAGGCATTATCTTTTTAAGGACCCTGTGTAGGAGGTGGAGTAGGATATGTGGGGGAACTTTCGGGCTTATTTTAGCCTTTAGTTACTTTTTCACTGTACATTTTGTGGATGAATATAATTTTTAGTACTTAATGTAGTAATGATCTCCAGATCATATATGTGTTTATGCCTTATGATTTTAATTTAGGGGTAATTTGGTAGGAACTACTTGGAGAATTAATACATGTTTTATATATGGTATGTACAAGAGTTCATATCATGAAATCATAGAAGACCTTTACACATAACCCTTCTCAAGCCTACTAGTGCAACGTCTATATGAAGTCTAATAATCCCACATAGTAAAGCAAACAAGGTAAGAGATTATAAATTATGCCTAACTTCACATAACATACCATCAAGAGTATTCATCAATATATATAGCAATATAAACCAATAACATGTTCATAAGTAAACTGACATTATATAGGATGATCAACATGTAAAGACAACATATGCATATAATAAAGTTGTAAGAGCATAAAGACATCCTCTTATGACTTCCTGCAAGTCCATCTAGTGCAATGCATAGGTAGAGTCTCATACCCCTATCTATACTAAGAAGAACCCCTTAAGTGATCCTAGTTAGAGTTCACTTTATTATATTCATTTTACTTTTCAAAACAATTGCCTTAACCAACATAGACCATTTGAGATAAATATGGAATCGGTGTCATGAAACCCTATTCTAAAAGAAGGTGCTCTATTGTAACGACCTGTTTAGTCGTTTTGAGCGGCAGATTTTATTTCTGGAAAAACAGGCTGAGGCGACGGACCCCACGATGGATCGTCATGGGCATGACGGACCGTCGCAGGTTCTCGTTTCAAAACACTTAGAAAATCTGAAATTGGGTACTGAAAATCGAGTCTCTGAACTTCGTAACGGAATGGAAGGACGGACCGTCACAGGTGTGACGGACCATCACAGACTCTTCAGAGAAATTGAGTCTCTGAACTCTGTGACGGAGCAGCAGGACGGACCATCGCAGGCGCGACGGGCCATCACAGGCTGAGTAAATCCCAGTCTGAGTCGGAATTCCTCAATTGTTTTAAGGGACGTTTTTGACTATTCCTGCTTTAATTATATAGTTAGTGGGTAAATTATTGTCATCTTTTATTCTTAATTATATGCTAATTAGGGTAAAAGAAAGAGGGTTTTGAATTAAGAAAACAGAAAGAACAAGAGAAAGAGAGAGAAAGTCGAACGAGAAAGAGGAGAAACGAAGAAAAACACAAGGCTTTGGGAAATTCTTGCTTGATCACCAGTCTTCGGTGGAGGTAGGTTATTGTTTCTCTTACGATATTCGTAGTAAACTGTTAATAGCGAATGATATGTATTGATAATATTGTAAACCCTGCTATGTGCTTAATTATATGCTTGTATGAATGTAATTATGTAATTGTGATTATATAAGCATGATGAGGTTATTGAATCCCAAATCTTACAAAACCCTAATCTCTCTATTAATGATGTGGCCTTGGTATAAAAGAAGGCGTGATGAACTAAAATAATGAGATTGATGATGCCTTGGTGAGAAAGAAGGCTTGATGAATTGATAGAAGAAGATTAGGGGATCAGGTGTCACAAACCGACACGTAGATTTAGGGGATCGGGTGTCACGAACCGATATGTAGATTTAGGGGATCGGGTGTCACGAACGGACACGTAGATTTAGGGGATCGGGTGTCACGAACTGACACATTGATTTA